AGAAATATTTAGAATTCTCTGTAAGAGATTCCTTACTTCAATACTAAGGGGGTGTTTGCAAATGTTTTTACTTTTTCTTTTCATGAGTGAATTTTTAAATAGAAGTGGATAAAATCAAATTTTAATCAGAAGTAAAGGGTATTTACAAAATATATAAAAAAATGTCGAAATCAGTAAAAAATGTTTGAAAGATAACTTTGTGAAATAATCGTGAAAAAATTTTTGGAATAAAAAAGACAATTTTACCCCTATATATAATTTTTTTATCATTTACAATTTTTCTTTTTTTTTTCCCCTCTTCTCTGTCACTTCCAGCTGCCCCGCCATGCACAGTAACGACCGGGCGAGCGCAACGGCAATGGATCTCCCCGTAGCCGCGTGCACTCCTATCCCCATTGTAGTGCGTAGTAGTGGCAGAGCTCCCATCGCATGGGAGGGGCCCTGAGTGGTGGGGGGAGGGGGAGAGAGGGTGATCCATCCAGTGGCGATGGTGACAGCCTATCTGGTGATCGGTGTAGAGGGAAGGAGAGAAGAAAAAGGGGTAAGGGTGGAAATAATAAAAAAATTGAGGGTAAAAGAGTGTAAATAAATTTAAAACAATTTTAATTTAATTACAAAATTACTGCTGAAAGCTAGAAGTACTCTTTTCCCTACTTTAAACTTTTTACTATTTACAACTTAATTTAAATAATGCAGAAGTTAAAATTAATTTTATAAATACCAAAAATCACTTTTCAATAATTGAAAACCTGAGAAATTATAAATAGAAGTATTTGCAAACACTTCTAAAGGGGTTAATTAATGTAATTATTTGGTGGATTCAGAGTCCACTGAGGAGACCAGAACGGGATCTTGCAAAGCAGGTGCACTGGCCTACATAAAAGCAAGATTCGAAACTTGTGACTTAAAAAAATTAAGTAATTAATTGAGCTTGATGCATTCCCTGTTTGGTTAATTAGATTTTAAATTAATTTTAAATTTAAGAATTTATGGAAATTATATGAAAAATAATTGAAAAAAATTTCAAGCAACAGTTGACTCCCACTTCTCTCAGGGCATGGTTGGAACCCAGTTGCCTAATACAACCTGATTTTATGAAAAATTAATTATTTGAACTGTAAGTAAGAAGAAAGCTCTGAACCTCCAAACCCACCACTCTAGTACACTTTACTCTTTTAAGATTGATGCCAACAAAACCCCAATTTTTTTGTTTATTTAATTTTGGAGAAGCAGAAAGGCTTGTTAATACATCACATCAAGCCATTGTTTTTGATAATTGTTTCCAAATTAAATGGAAAAAGCCAAAACTATAATTGGAGAAAGTTGTTTCACAGGTTCTAATCCAAAATTATTTCATAAAAATATTTGTCTCAAAATATTCTCTTAAAATTTCTATTAAAATTTATTTTTGTTATACAGTTGACTTAATAACAGAAAATAAATAAATATAATAAACCCACATATTTATGTTTATTATTTTGTTAAAATTATGTCAGAAAAAGGTTCAAATTTATATATTAAATCGGAAAACTGAATCTAACTTAACTAATTCAAGTGAATTGGTAATCCCGATTTGTTTTGATCATCATGTATGTGAAAATTGTGAACCAAATTAAATAGAATATATTCAAAAAAAAATTAAAAAAGATAATCGTATCAAGGGAATGTGGCGTCCACAAGTAAGCCAGGTTATTGTTTTCCATATTTTGGCCCCATTCAGCGGATTCGTTGCTGTTTTTTCTGGTAGTGGACGACGATAGTGATATGACATAAATGTTGTCAAGGGAAACGAGAATAGCCAATCCACCCGTAGGATAACTATCTCAATTTGAATTAATTAACTTGGAGTGTCGTAAATTGTCCAAAGTGTGACGTGGGATTAGGATTTCTGTTCAATTTTATAATATCTAGGCTCGTTTGGTTTCGCAAAAAGGATACAGTTCAAAAAATTTAGTTTTGGTGTGTGACTCCTATTTCAGAATTTTTAATTTTACGTTTATCCCACGGTAAATCAGTTTTTATTTTGTTTTATTTTTTTATAAACCAAACTTGAAATTGAATATATTTTTATACGAGTACAAAAAAAGTTTTAGAATGTCAAATATTATTTAATTAACAAAATATTTGAAAATTAATTATAAAAAATCTTAATATTTTGTGATATTTTATTTTACGTCGATTTTTAAAAGTAATTTAATATAGTATATAATATACATTAAAAAATATTACTATATAATTTAAGACTAAACATTTTAAATCAATGATTTAAATTAAACAAATTATTAAGTTTAGTAATTATCATTATTCGCAATTCATGCAATTTGCACAGGCACACAGATTATCTCTGGATTAATCCAACGCCAAAGATGACTATGTATATACCCAGTTGGGTTCTGGATTTTGGTTAAATTAAGGTGAACTTGTCTTGGTTGTTGCTTAATTTTATGACGATGAAAGTATTCTTTGACCAACATAGAAAGGAAATGAAAATATTTTTGCAAAATATCCCCTTTTTACTTTATCATCCAGTACTATTTCCCTTCTTTTCTTTCTTTTTGGCAAGTCAATATGAAAATGTCTTTATCATTATTATGGAAATAATAATGCCTTCCAAGAAATTTTTTAATTGTTAATATTTAAAATAAAAAATAAAATTTTTATATAAAACAATTATTACCCATCTTAGCAATTTCTAACGTCTTCTAACTCGATTTATCCTTTTGTGTAACAAAAGTCTATTATCATGACATCATTAATTTGACCAGCCATTGGTTTTACAAAGATAACAAAGTCAGTTTCATTTCATTTCTATTTTTGCACTTTCGCTTTTGGCTACAATTATTTGAATCTCTCTGCTTTTTAGTATATGCTTAATACATTACATGATAGCTAAGCTAGAGAAAGAGAGAGAGATAGAGATGAATAAGTTAGTGATATATATATATATATAAAAAAGCATATTAACAATAAATATGCAATTTTTGTATAAAGAAAAATGTTATATATCACCGAATAAACGTTTTTTTATACTCTTAAATATTGAAAATAAAATAATAATTAGAGAAAATAAATAAAATTATTTAGGGTTGATGCATAGAAAACCTTGTAAATGATGTTTGATAATGCATCTCTCTATATATATAAACAAATAAAATGAGATTTGCTGACTAGGGTTTCATAAGATTTAATCGTGAAGGGGAGTGTGGCATCCACAAGAAAGCCACCTTATATAATTGAATTATAGCCGTTGTGATGCCTTGGAAGGGTCAGGCGTCCATTTGATGTTAGGTGCTGTTCTAGTGAGGTAGCATCCTAGCAACCCAATCAATTAATGACATGTGTAAATTTTTAATTTAATTTTTTTATTTTATGTTTAACCAACTAAATTAAAAATTTGTAAATATGATATGAAAAATTAAATTATTTTATTTTTTATTTTTAAAATTTAAAAAAAAAAATAAGATAAATTCATTTTACACATTTGAATACATGTCACTTATCACTAGATATTAGGTACTACCTTACTAGACAGTAACTAATATCAAATGAACCGGCCGAGAAAATTCTTTTGGCCTATACTGACAGCATAGATGATGTCTGCGATCACCAAAAAGCATTGTTTATTGGGTTGGTAATCTGACCTGAGATTGTGACCTGGATGAACCACTGGCGGCTTGGTTCGGCCGGTTTGCTTCTACTTTAGGGTTTGGTAGATAGATTTTTTTAATAAAGTATTTTTATGATATAAATTTTTATAGAAATTATTTTATTTGAATATAATTATGAAAAATATTTTTTTCTACAAAAGTTATTTTGAGATTTTTTCAAAAACTACTTACAATAATTTTAAAAATAATCAGTAATATGACTTTCATTAGATTTCATTTTTTAAAAAAATTACCCAAATACTCTAAAATTTTTAGAAATATATTTGTTTTAATTTTCTTGTTAAGGTTATGAATTTTTTGGTTTTACAAATATATTACGAATGAGGATGAATATATAAGATTCGACTTTAAAGACTACCATTTTTATACGTGGTTTTTTAACAATCAGGCTAATTCTATACTATTCAAACAGTGAGTTCAACAGGTCATAATTGTGAAGGGGGGTAAGAGTTTGTTACGTAATTTAAAGTAGGTTATCTTACCTCCTTGAAATTTATTATGTCTTAATTACCCTAAATTATACAATGCATCTATTACCTCCTTAAATATTAATATTATTAACGCGCTATTATATTTGCCACTTGAATTTTTAAATCTTAAATACTATTTTTTAAAATATTACTATTAGAATAGTTAATTGTTAAAAATTTAAAAATTTAAGCTAATATATTATAATTTTAAAAAATATTATTAAATATATTTAATTTTAGATATTAAATTAAAATACAACTCAGTTTTATAAAATTAATTCAGACTATTTGCACAATCTAACTAAAGAATAAACCATTTAAATAGTGGAAATTATTCAAAGATCAAATTTTGAAACTTAGACTATTTACATTTTTTATTTCCTATAATATAGCATTAAAAAAATTAAATCTTATCATAGATAAAAAAAAACATTATAATTATAACATAGTAGTTCAAACTGAGTATAACAAAATTTATCAATAAAAATTTTTACAACCACAAGAAAAAATAATGTAATTTATCATAATGTCAAAAAAATATCAAAAAATTTCATAATTGATCCAAGACACCTAAAATTTTTTTAAGTCTTACTCTTTTTTATACTTTCAATTGATTTAATGACACTTGGCGGCGAATTTGCGAAGGCGTGTGGCTGCCACAAGCTTTATGAATATTTAATTGTATTATTTAAATTTCAAGGTTCAAAACACAATACGTCAAATGCTAGGGTCCCCATGCCACGGTCGAGGGCCCATCTGTCACCGTTGGATTACCATCTGAAAATATCTATAATTTTTTAGCCATTAAAACAGGGACAATAATATTCGTGTTCTTGTCGCGTAGCGGTGAAGTAGCCATCTAATGTCAACTTCAAGGGGTAAGGGGGGCAATTGAAAAAGTTTTTTCTGAATCCGTGCGCATGTTTAATTGTTTAAATAATTCTTATGTCCATTGCGCTTGGTTATTCCAAAATCGGATAAGTTTGCAACCAGGCACAAAAGCCTTCACAATTTTACCAGAAATTTTATTTTAAAAAAGGGTAGATAGATCTAGTTTCTAATTATTTAATACAATTTTTATCTCAAAAACTGTTTAGCTATGGGGGCACAACACTACCTTATTGTACATATAATCCAACAATATATTAACAATTATAAATTGTTATAATATAATATTAGTACTATTAAAAATTTGATTTTGGATGAACACCTAGACAATCATCCTCGCAGGGATAGCTGGGATGGTGGCTGGCGCGTGCAACATGGCCATCAGGGAGTTTGTCTCTGGTTATCTCTATACGACACGAAGCTGGCCCAGATTAAGAGGGAGTGCCAAGTGAGGGAGGTGAGCCCCAGCAAGTTGGCTGAGAAGTCGCACCCACAGCTTCTGGGTGCTTTCCATGTTAGAAATATATAAATAGAAAGTTTGAGACGTGAGAATATTATCTCAAAAAATTATTTACCTGATTTCAGAGAGAAGAAGAAAATAAAGACTTTCGAGATACAACAAGTCTTGTACGGATTGGTATATTTATAAATTCGAAAGCCACTTCCAACAGTTGGATGCAAAATAAACGGTCAAATTATTTAAAAATAATTAAACCGTTTTTTATATTAATTCAAAAAATAAAATAAATAAATAAAATTATTAACTCTTTTTAATTTAAACAAGTTCTAAGTCATTTAATGTATATATAAATATACATATATGGGTTATATGGGTCACATGCAATGACTCATTTAATAAATAATATATTTAGAAAGAGATGGAATATATTAATAAATTCACTTGGCTTCTGGGATACCATTTTCATATGACAAACTATTCAATATTCCATGCTGTGATTATGTCAATTTTTGCATTACAATTGGGGTGGTGGCGCTGCTACTGGCCACGGCACCTGTAAGGGATTATAAAGTGCTGCTGGGAGTGGCAGTGGCCACGATGGGCCTGGCGCTACTTGGGTTTGGATGGTCGTGTGCAGTGCTGGGGAGGGCGCCGTTGGTGAAGTCTAGGTTTTGGTGGGAGGGTGGATGGCCATGGAATCACCTTTGGATTGATAAAGTTGATTGGCACCGTTAAATTGATTAGGGTATTATTTTATAGAGTCAAAGAGTCCGGATTTAATATTTAACCACCAGCATGTCAAGTATTCTAATTCAAACTCAGTGGTATAATCTAATTTGATAGAAAAAGCAGGAGCTTTTTTCAATCATAAAATCATTAAGATGATTTTTTTTTTCCCTTTCTTAAATACCTTTGTATGTATAAGTAAATCATCATAAATATTAATAGAAGTCTAATTAATGAGTAAGAATTCTGATTAAACGTAATTGACTTATAATTAATTGATTTAATCAACAAAATGCCTATTTCTAATATTAATTATCAAGGTTATAAATTTTTCAGAAAATAAGAGATTCCTTACTTCAATACTAAAAAGGTTAATACACTTATTAAGTGGGATACAGAGGCCACCGAGGAGACCAGAAAAGGGATACTTAAAAGCAAGATTCGAAAATCGTGACTTAAATTAAGTAATTAATTGAGTTTGATGCAATCCCTGTTTGGGTTAATTACATTTTATATTAATTTAAATTTAAGAATTTATGGAGAATTATATGAAAAATATTGAAAAAAATTCAGGCAAAAGTTGACTTCCAAACCCACCAAACCCAGAGATCTTGAAAAAAAAAATTCAGATCAGTAATTTGAACTGTAACGAAGAAGAAAGCTTTAAATCCTCCAAACCTACTACTTTAAGGGGTTGTTTGCAAATGTTTTTGTATAATTAGAAGTTGAAATTTAAAGTGAAAGTAGTTAAAGTACTTCAAAATAAAAATTGAGTGTACTTGTAAAATATATTTAAAATTCTTAAAATTAGTATAACAGTGTTTGTAAGAAAAGTTGTACAATTAGCTTTTGAAAAAAATTTTGCTTTAGAAATACAAAAAATCCCTATCTCTACTTGTTTTCTTTGCAACACTCAATCACGAAGGCACATGAAGGTGACGGTGAGGTGGAACACAGGGGCAGAGGTGACCATTGGCCAAGTGCAGAGGCGACATTCAGCTAAAGGAAATTGAGTGTTCTCTGGTTCGGTGGAGCATAAAGCTGAAGGACAAACAGAGGGTGCCGTTGGTGATTTTTGGCAGAAATGACTGTCAAATTTCGTTGGCCAAGACAACTATCAAATTTAGCCCAGCAGGATGACCACTAATGCACTGTTATCCTTATCTGGTGAGTAAAGGTGATGCCTGACAATAATGGCCGAATTAAGGCTGTGCTTGATGAAGCACAGAAACAAGGAAAAGAAAGGGATTTGACAAGGGAATATTGGAATTCAAGAAAAAAAGTGAGGATAAAAATGTCCAAATCTAACTTCTATTTATTCACTACCATGCCACTCAAGTTACTCATTCCCCCTGCTTAAACTTTCAGCTTCAACTTTTACTCTATCAGCTTTGTTTTAGGAAGTATAAATCAAAAATTACATTACAAACACCTCCAAAGCACTTCTCTTCATGGAATTCACTTCTAAGAAATGAAGGCAAACACCCCATAATACGCCTTACTCTTTGAGGAATTGATGCCATATTACTATAATACTCAAGTTATTTTTGTTTTTTTTAATTTTTGTGAGTCATAAATGCTTGCTAATACATCACATCAAGCTATTGTTTTTGAACTATATATAATTGGAGAAACTTGTTTCACAAATTATTTTCCAACATTATTTCATGAGGATTTGTGGGAAAATATTGTCACGCCCCGAACCCCGAGCCCGTGACCAGCACTAAATCCACCGACCCCAGTAAGTTTCAACAAAAACCAGTCGAAACTTCAAATATATAAAACATACAAAAAGTGCAAAAGTAATAACATCCAAAAATCACCCGAGATCCTGTCCGAGTGTACAAGGAAGCTACTCTAGAATACAATCGGGTAAAGTACAAAAGAGAAATGCTCGTAATCCATCAAGTTCGCTGTCGTCGACTCCCACGCTGGCACGCAATCGAGGTGAGTACATCAAATGAATCTGGAATGTTTAAAACTATGAGTTACGAAACTCAGTGAATTGGATAATACCTAATCATACATGTTGGGATATGTATCACGCCACAAGTACAAAATCATACATACACATATAAACATTGAGCATAATCAAAACACATATGTGAGGTATCAAGGTAATCAATCATCACATCACATCAATCACAAGGCCAGTGTACTCCCCGCACGTTACGGTAGCACACCATCCGCTGGCTGAGCCCTTAGCCACACAACCCATCTCATCGCCGGCCAAGGTACTCCCCATACGCTACGGTCCACTGTCCGTCGGCTGAGCCTGCATCTCGTACACATCACATCACTGGGCCAGAATACTCCCCGCACGCTACGGTAGCACACCATCCGCGGCTGAGCCCTTAGCCACACAACTCATCTCATTGGCCGGGCCAAGGTACACCCCGTACGCTACGGTCCACCGTCCGTCGGCTGAGCCTGCCATCCCATACACATCACATCACTAGGCCAATATACTCCC